TGGAAGACGGGGGTGTGGCAGGGCCCGATTCCCTCCGTGGATGGTCTTGGGGAAGAACTGGGGGCTGAAAACGGAGCCGGGGAAGAGCTGCTGCCCAAAACCTCTCCGGAGGGTTTGGGGCTGAAAATGGAGAAGGGGATGAGCCACGGCCAAATCCCCTTGACAAACGCCCTCGGGGAGAGGGTTTGGGGCTGAAAATGGAGAAGGGGATGAGCCACGGCCAAATCCCCTTGACAAACGCCCTCAGGGAGAGGGTTGGGGCTAAATGCCAAATCCCCTTGACAAACGCCCTCGGGGAGAGGGTTTGGGGCTGAAAATGGAGAAGGGGATGAGCCACGGCCAAATCCCCTTGACAAACGCCCTCAGCGAGAGGGTTTGGGGCTAAATCCCATCCTCAGGGGCTCTGAAACAGAGATGAGGACGAGCCCGGGCCGAAATCCCTCCAAAAACAGACTCAGGGAAAAGTTTTGGGGCTGAAAATGGAGACGGGGCTGAGCCACGGACAAATTCCCCCCTGCAGGCAGCCTCAGGGAGAGAGTTTGGGGCTGAATCCCACCCTCAGGGGCTGGGAACGGGGAAGAGCCGTGGCCAAAACCCCTCCCCAGTTGGTCCTGGGGAAGAATTTGGGGCTGAAAACGGAGAGAGGGAAGAGCTGCTGCCCAAACTCCTCCGCAGGCAGCCTCGGGGAGAGGATTTGGGGCTGAAAACGGAGATGGGGACGAGCCACGGCCGAAACCCGTTCAAAACCAGCCTCAGGGAGATGGTTCGGGGCTAAAAAAGGGAAATAGGGACAAGACGTCGCGCAAATTCCCTCCGCAAATGGTCTCGGGGCGAGAGTTTGGGGCTAAATCCCATCACCAGGGTTCGGAAAAGGAGAATGGGGATGAGTCCGTGGCCAAAATCCCTCCAGAAACAGCCTTGGGGAGGCAGTTTGGGGCTTAAAAAGGGAGACGGGGATGAGCCGTGGCCAAAAGCCGTCCAGAAACAGCCTCGGGGAGAGGGTCTGGGGCTAAATCCCACCCTCAGGGGCTGGGAACGGGGACAAGCCGTGGCCAAACCCCCCCCCCAGACGGTCTTGGGGAAGAATTTGGGGCTGAAAATGGAGACGGGGACGAGCTGCCGCCCGAACTCCTCTGCAGGCAGCCTCGGGGAGATGGTTCGGGGCTAAAAAAGGAGATAGGGACAAGATGTCGCCCAAATTCCCTCCACGGATGGTCTGGGGGAGAGTCCGGAGCTAAATCCCACCCTCGGGGGCTGGGAACGGGGACAAGCCGTGGCCAAAACCTCCCCCCCGAGATGGTCTTGGGGAAGAATTTGGGGCTGAAAACGGAGACGGGAGATTAATCGCAGCCGAAAATCCTCCACAAAAAGCCCCGGGGTCGAATTCGGGGCCAAAACCAAGACTCGGGGACGCTCCCGCCCC